TTTGATCCTCAGTACCACATTAAAAAAAAAAAAATAAAGTGATAAAAAAATAATGTTTATTAAAAAAAAACATACTGTATGATTCCACTTATGTGAAGTCTGTGGCTAGACAAAACAAATCTACGGTATCTGAAATTCATAGTCAGAAAGTAGTTACTTTAGAGAAGGGAGGGTCAAGATGGGTGTGGTAGCATATACCTGTATATAGGGTAATAATGTCTATTTCATTCTAGCATCCTTCTCATCCCCACAGCCCCACCCCTTATTCCCTTCTACTCAAACTAAAGTTCCTTTATTCTTCCATATCTCTGCCACTCCTGCCCCACTATGGATCAGCATCCAATTATCAGAGAAAATATTCGGCTTTTGTTTTGGGGGGGTTGGCTTATTTCACTTAGCATGATATTCTCTAGTTCTATCCATTTATCTGCAAATGCCATAATTTCATTCTTCTTTAAGGCTAATATTCCATTGTGTATATGTATCACATTTTCTTCATTCATTCATCTGCTGAAGAGCACCTAGGTTGTTTCCATAGTTTAGCTATCGTGAATTGAGTTTGCTGTAAACACTGATGTGGCTGCATCACTATAGTATGCTGCTTTTAAGTCCTTTGGGTATAAACCAAGGAGTGGGATAGCTGAGTCAAATGGTGGATCCACTCCAAGTTTTCTGAGGCATCTCCAAACTGCTTTCCACATAAACTGTGTTAATTATACCTCAATAACTACTACAAAGTATGGACTGAGATATGGCAAAATGATAAGGCACTTAACTGGCTCTGGGTTTGAGGCTTGGCACATGAAAGAAAAAAATATATATAAATTTGAAAAAACTAAAAATACAGAGTAGTACTCCACTTTAAGATATAGGTTAAAATTTTGTTTCAAATGAAATTCTAGAATACCACACAGGCACTTTCAATTATTTGCCACTTTGAATTATTCACAACTCTATTCCTTCATTCCTATAAAAACTATTAATATAGTACAGAAGCAGATGTTTAGGGCTGGGGCTGAGGCTCAGGGGTAGCGCACTTGCCTGGCATGTGTGAGACACTGGGTTTGATTCTCAGCACCACATATAAATAAATAAAATAAAGGTCTATCAACAACTAAAAAAAAAAAACATTTAATTTTTCATAAATAGCAAATTGGACTTGATTCTTTACAATTTTAACATGTACCTAATGGACCGTTATAAGTTCAGTGGAATTTTCTGTATCATTTTCCTCGCAATATGATTTTTTTATTTGTAATTTTAAAAGATCTGACAGAAAACTGAAAAGACACATAAATCAAATGTCAGCATGGAAGGTCAATAACAGTGACAGTGCTTTAGCCATTATCACAGCCTAGAGAATAATGCCCTCAACTAATCTAATCAAGACAATACATGCATATTATACTTTAAGAGCCACTGAACCACAAAGAATACTTGCCAGCTAATTTAATTTTTAAAAGATAATGATAACACAGCCTAAATAACAATAGCCATGTACATCAAACTGACATGGGAAACCTATTAAAAATCCTTTTCTCTCCTGGCTTATTGAAGCTGTCCCCTTCTTTTACTGGTTTCTGCCAGATATATTTTTATCTCAACTTCCTCTCACCTTCCCTATAATTTGCTCAGATCTAATTGATTTTAATATATCCAGCTCATTTCAGGTTCCAAATTAAATATACAAAATTATACTGTACTCTGTGTAGATATGTCATGTACACTAACAGTATATAGAGAAGGTAGCCTGAAGGAATAGAGAGACAATTACTAAATGGAAAAGGCTGACTTCATTTGTTCCCCACCCACACAACTGGAAAAGATCTCTCCTGAATGAACACCTACCATACTTTTGTACTTCCTAGGAATAACTCCTACAAGTGCTTTGGACTATGAACAAGCACACATGCCTAACCCCAAAGAAAATAAGCTCCCAGACAGGAATCATATTATATATGTGATATAATATGAATATATATGTATTCATATTACACACACACACATTCACCAAAGACAGTGTCTGATAGATTGGGGTAAAACACAGTTGTTGAACTGGTGAAGTACTGAGTTAATATGAATGAAAACAACTGAAGGTACAAGACAAGGAGAGGGGGAAAAAGCTGAGGATACAGAAAGAAGGCAAGTGGGGCAAGAGGAGGAAAAAGGACAAAGAATGAAGAAGAAAACTTTACACTGGCAACTGTCTATATCAGAGTGAATAATTTTTAAAAACTGAGTTGGAAAAGTCATGGATGTTTCTAATATCATAATTATCAGCACCAGTCTTTAAATTATCATTATAAACACCTTAAAATATCTTTAAAATTATCTCAACATTCTGATTATTCAAAGTGTGGTCTTTAGCAGCATCACCTATCAAATACACAGATTCTAGGGTCCCACTTTAATAGTACATGATCCTGGATGATGTATGCATTCTCAAGTTTGAAAACACCTCTCTATACCATTAAGATCCTTTCTCTTAATCAATCTGTGTCTTATTTAAGTGGGCCAAAAGATGAGAGGTAGAAAGAATCTTTTTTTTTTTTTTTTTTTTTAGCATTTCTGGGATCAAACCCAAGGCCTCATGTGTTGTATAACTGAGTTACATCCTCAGCCCCTCCAAAAACCTTTGCTTAGAGCGAAACAATAATTGTAATGGAGTTTGACCTATATGTATTTAACTTCAGGTGAAGTTATGAATTACAGAGTAATGGGCCTATTGGTCTACCACAAAGATTAAAGAAAATGAACAGTAGATTAATAGCATCCTCAAGAACTCAATTTTGTTCTGTCATGCCTAGTACAGGGCTTGGAATGATATATATGGCCAATGTTTCCTGAATTAATAAAATAAATGATTTTTTAAAAAATCTAAAAAGGCCAGGATGGGCTGGACTTGGTGGTGCATACCTATAACCTCAGCAGCTCAGGAGGCTAAGACAGGATAATGGCAAGTTTGAAGTCATCCTCTAATATTTGGTGAGGCCCTAAGTAACTTAGTGAGGACCTGTCTCAAGGTAAAAAACAAAAAGGGCTGGGAATGTAGCTCAATGGTAAAGCGCTCGTGGGTTAAATTCTTGGTTAAAAAATAATAATAAAACAAAAACAAAAACCTGGGGATAATTGTAGGGTCATATGGACCATCAAACTCATTTTAAAGATGAACAAGCTGGGTGTGGTGGGGCAGGCCTGTAATCCCAGCAGACTGGGAGGCTGAGGTGGGAGGATCATAAGTCCAAAATCAGCCTCCGCAATTTAGTAAAACCCTAAACAATTTGGCCAGACCCTTTGTCAAAATAATTTTTTTTTTTTTTTTTTAGAAAAAGTGGGGTGGAGTGGGGATGTTAGCTCAGTGGTTGAGTACCCTGGGTTCAAACCCTAGTACCAAAATAAATAAATAAAGAAAGAAAGAAGAACAAGCTAGAAATCCTGAGGAGTGCTAAAGCAAGAAAGCTATGAGAAGGGCTTGGGGTTGTGGCTCAGCAGTAGAGCGCTTGCCTAGCACCCAGGCCCTGGGTTCGATACTCAGCACCACATAAAAATAAATAAATAAAATAAAAGTATTGTGTCTAACTACAACTAAAAAATAAATATTAACAACAACAAAAAAAGCTAGAATGTACAGGAACTCACATTTTAATTCCCTTTTTGTTCCTCTGAAAGGACTGTTAGGGGATTCTAATTATTTTAATGACTGTGGGCTCTTAAAGAAGTGACAGGGTAAAAGGTGCTTAGGCTCCCAACTAGGTGGCACAAGCCCATAAGAGACTGGGAAGGCTGAGGCTGGAGGATATCAAGTTCAAAATCAACCTGGGCAATTTGGTGAGACCCAGTCTCAAAATAGAAACTAAAAAAAGGCTGGGTATGTAACTTAGTAGTAGAATGCCCCTGGATTCAATCTCCAGTATGCGTGTATTGGCAGGGCTAGGTTAGTGGGATTAGAAAGAAGAAACTAACAAAAGTGAGCCGGGGCAAAACTTTTTCCAAGACTAATATAAATTTTTGATAGGCCAATTCATTAATCAATTTAATCTGCCAAAAAATTAATCTGAAGGGTTCTCAGAATAAGAAACACGAGCTGCACGAAAACGTTACAATCCAAAGGAGACGGCACATAAGTAATTTAAATCTCCACAGGTTTATTTCCTGTTTAAATGTGACTTCCTAAGTTTTACTGCATGACTTTTGATTTTAAGAAAAGACAAGAGCAAGTTGAAACGCTATTTTTAACTAAGCATTAAAAAAAAAAAAAAAGGAAAGAAATTAGGAGGAAAAAAAGACATTGCGGCTGTTTCCCATTTCTGTTTGTAATCAGAATGCAGGCTTGCGGAAGAAATACACCAACTTCTGTAAGCAAAAATATAACGTTTCAGTCACGTCCTCAAAACAAACCAGCACACGAACTTCACAGCCGGACCCAGCTGTGCTGCAAGAGAGCCAAGAATTTATTCTAAGACAGAACAGATCAAAACTATGAATGCAAGACGAGCCAGATTTCAATCACAAAAGGGTGTGCCCCAAGTCTGTCTGATTTTTGTTTTTCTTCCTACTTTCAACAAGCAGAAGTCTTTAAAGGAGTCTTGGAGAGAAAACCCTTTAAATTTCTAGTCCCCAAGTCTCTCCCGGATGGAGAGGGGTGGGGGGGGAAGCACCGTGGGGCTCAAGAGCGTCACCGAGTGGCCAGCGACGGCTCCGCGGGAGAAGGGGCAGGTCCCCAACCGGAGGAGGCCGAGCCCGGAGTGATTCATCAGCTACTCGGGCTTCGCGCGCCTCAACCCGCGGGCGACGCCCAGCGCACCCCAGGACCCTACAGCGGTCAGTTGGTTCGAAGCAGCCCCCAGCGTCCCTCTGCTCCCCGAAAGGGGTACGTAGGAAAGGAAACTGGAGACCGGCGACTGGGAAACACAACCTTTCCCCCTTCAGCCACCATGGCCGGTGCGACTCCCTGCCGCGCCCGCAGACGGACTTCCTGGAAAGCACCGGGCTAGGCTTACCTGACAGGCGTCCGCTGGAGCTGTCAACCTCCTTCACGGACCCGCGGGAACTGCCTCCGCACGCCGCTGTTGGATTCTCTGCAGCCGCCAGTCGGCCTGCGCTTGACTCGGAGGGAGTTGCCGGACCCACCCGCCCACTGCTCCCCCAACTCGACCGCGCTGTCGGTGCGGCTGGTTCCCCTCCGCCAGCGACACGCGTGCGCACTCCTGGTTCGCGGAGCATCCTGGGAATTGTAGTTCAAGCGAGAAGGGCGAGGCTCTGCTTAGACCCTGGTCTTTACAATGGGTCAGAGCGTTGGAAACCGCTGTGGATACCAAGGCGTAGCCCGGTGTGAGACAATGCTTTCCTTTCGTGGAAGTACCAACTCTCGACCCTCTGGAAGCTAGAAACCGCATCTAGAGGCTTTTTTGGTAATAGATTCCCTTTTCACTTTGACCTTTCATAAGGAGGCACTCATGGCAGGGCTTCTGTTGTACCCTTGGTTACTAATGCAAGAACTTGACATCAGTTCTTTAAACTGGTCATGAAAGACTGATAGAAAAGTAAAAAAAAAAAAAAAAACAAATAGAAGGTGAGGCCCTAAAGGGTCATAAGTCTGGTCATCTCAAGGGCGTGGTCTCCCTTAGACATGCAAATAATATCCTTAGACATGCAAATAATGTCGCAGCTGTGACCACTATCTTCCTAGGCAGTTTCTGCCCCATCCCATCCTCCCATTCCAGCTTCAAATTCTACACCAGGCAGTGGAGTTGGGCTGAAGCAACAGTTCATAGTAGAGGATTGGGGCGGATTACACCTACTTCAGGAGTAGACAATCCCCAAAAGTAATGCTCAGTTTCCATACACCTTTCAAGAATGCAGTCAACGAAGATGAGGACTGAAGTGCCTGCTGCAGGTACATTTCAGCTACACCCAGTGTATGGGAGCTACCTAATGGTTAAATCTCTTCCTGGCATCTACTTCTCCTCAGAGCAGGGTTTACCCTGGGTTAAGTAAACACTTTGGGATTTCATGCAGTTGGCATCCACTAATTCCAATAATGAAGATCCCTGATGATTTGGGTTTTTAAGAAAAAAACCTTGTAGTAAATACTCATAGAAGACTTGATGTTCAATTTTGTAGCCATAGATCTTATTTTCTATAACATCTTAATATGAATCAGTTTTTTAAACATTCCTGGAGATAATAGCTTTCTGAAAGTAATTTCCTACAGAGTTCAGGTTCACCTAATATTTATTGAATACTTAACAGATACCAAGCAGGGTACCAGTATCTATAGCATCTCATTGAATCCTCAAGACTATCCTACAAAGAATAAATTAGTATCCTCCATTTCTACAAATGGGAAAACTAACTCAAAAAAGTTAAATAATTTCTAAAAAAATCACAAAGCCAATAATTAACTGTAGATCCAGAAATGAAGCACAAGTATTCTGACTTAAATTCTAGCATGCCTTGTACTGCTGGTTAGACTGATGTGTCTCTTAAATCTCACCAAATTGTTTTAAATAAGATAATATGTGACCACATTCAAGAAACATGAAAAAAAATTCTCGAATACATTTCGGGGAAAATGGTACTCTGTGTGGATGTGATGAATGTTTGAATTCCCTTGATAGTTCTAGGTTTGATTCAAACTTATTCTGGTTTACCAGCAAGTCTGCTATAAATTCCTACTACAGGTTTGGGACACCACTCCTGGGGAAACTGACAAAATGAAGAGTTGTAAGAAGCAAAGCAGCTGGTCATGGTGGTACACACCTGTAATCCTAGCAATTTGGGAGGCTGATGCAGGAGGATTGCAAGCTCAAGGCCAGCCTCAGCAATTTTGTGAGGTCCTAAGCAACTTAAAATAAAAAATAAAAAGGACTGGGGATATAGCTTAGTGGTAGAGCACCCCTGGATTCAATCCCCAGTATCTTCCCTCAAATACACATACACACACACACACAAACACATACATACACACACACACACACACACACACACACGAAGAAGCAGCAAAGCAGAGGCCCTTGGCATCCTGATTTGGTTTATTCTAAGAAGAGCTTCCCTCTACAATATGACTTCTTTTGCTTCGCTCTTTGATCAGAGGATTTTTTTTTTTTTTGGTGGGGGGTACTGGGGATTGTACTATGTTGCCCACTGTTTTTTTTTTTTTTTTAAATACATGACAGCCGTGGAAAGCATTACAATTCTTATTACACATATAGGGCACAATTTTTCATATCTCTGTATATAAAGTATGTTCACGCCAATTTATGTCTTTATACATGTACTTTGTTTTTTTTCCATTACAATTCTTAATACACATATATTCCACAATTTTTCGTATCTCTGTTTGTATATAAAGTATGTTGACACCCTATTTAAGTCTTCATACATGTACTTTGTATAATGATGACCATCACATTCCACCATCCTTGCTAATCCCCTACCACCTCCCTTTCCCTCCCACCCCTCTTCCCTATCTAGAATTCATCTATTCCTCCCATGCTCTCCCTCCCTACCCCACTATGAGTCAACCTCCTTATATCAGAGAAAACATTCTTGCCCACTGTTAACTATAGCTAGAAAATACAACTCTTGAAGAAGAAAAGGAAAAACCTGAATTTTTATTTACACAAATAAGTGGAAAGACTACTCAATGCCATTGATACATTAAAAAACTGTTCCCAAATATTTGCTTTCTCGAGGAACTGGCATCTCTACCCACTGCTATGTGGCTTGCAGCACTGCCCTTTTTGGCATTTTCAGGCTTGGCTGACCTAATGATAGGTTTTTCCTTCCCTCTTTTAAACAAATGTCTTATTATAATCTCAAACCTTGCTTTAGCCACTGAAATGTAAGTGGAGGTGACAGTAGGATCATTCTGAGTAGAAGCTTTAAGAATGATTGCTGGTCTTTTTGTGCTACCCAGGAAGAGGTCCCTCTGGTGGCATTGCTCTTGATTCCCATTATAACTTAAAGGGACACTGTCACAATGTCTGGAGCCCTTGACATCCTGCAAATGAAAGAGGAGGATATCCTCAAATTCCTTGCATTTCCAGATGGAAGAGTATATATTCTAAAAAAGAAAATCAATGGCATATACTTCATAAGTCTGAAGAAGACCTGGGAGAAGCTTTTACTGGCACCTTATGCCATTGTTGCCATTGAAAACCTGCTGACATCAGTGTCGTATCCTCCAGGAATAATGGCCCGCTGGCTGTGCTGAGTTTGCCACTGCAACTCCTATTGGTGCTTCACTCCTGGAACTGCACTAATCAGATCCAGACAGCCTTGTGGAATCCACATATTCTGATAGTTACTGATTCTAGGGCCTACCACCAGCTTCTCACAGAACATCTTATGTCAACCTGCCTACCATTGCTCTGAATGGACAGATTCTCCTCCATATTTTGTGGACATTGCCATTCTGCACAATAACAAGGGTGCTGACTCTGTGGTCTGATGTGGTGGATGCTGGCCCAAGAAGTTCTGCTCACATGTGACAACATCCTCAATGAACACCCATGGGAGGTCATGCCTGATCTGTACTTGTACAGAAATCCTGAAGAGATTGAAAAGGGCGAGCAGGCCACTGCTGAAAAAGCTGTGACTAAGGAGGAATTACATGGTACACGGACAACTTCGGCTCCTGAGTTCACTGATGCCCAACCTGAGGTCACAGACTGGTCTGGAGGCATGCAAGGTGCCCTTTGTGCCTATTCAGCAGTTCTCTGCTGAAGACCTGAGCACCAAGCTAGTCCACAGCTCCTACTGTTTGGGACATGAAGTGGGTAAGAACCACCACCAAGTGGACTTGAGCTGTTCTTCTTCAGACACTTAAGCAAAATGGAAATAAGGGTATGGAAAATAAACACCAGTTTCTAAAAAAATAAAAAAAAAGTAATTGCTGTTTCTCACTAGGGTACCTATTCTTTCCCTACACTAAGAGATAAAACATGTTCTCAGCAGAGGCTGGACCTTCTGCCCGAGTCCTAGAATAAGAAGGCATGTGAGTCAAAGCTTCAACCAAATACAGGAGTTGACCTTATAATGTAAGAAAAAGCCATTGGAAATTAGGTTTGTTTGTTACCTACTTTACTTCTGCAGTGCCTGATCAAAGAATGATGATACTCTGAAATATAAGTGGTATGGTATCCACTTCTGCACTTCTCACATCAAGTAATGGAAAACAGTTTTCAATATACAAAAGAGAATATCTGAAACCTTTAGGTAAAATATTTGAATAAGAACAGAGCATGGTTCTTAGTTGTGTTAAACAACTTTTTGTTAAGGTGACTAAAATACCTGAGCAAAACAACTTAAAGGAGAAAAGATTTACTTTGGCTCACAATTCAGAGGTTTCAGTCCATGGTCAGCTGGCTCCTTTGCTTTGGGCCTAAGAAGAAGCAGAATATCATGGAGGAAAGCTGCTTCATGGCAGCCAAGAAATGTGTGTGTGTGTGTGTGTGTGTGTGTGTGTGTGTGTGTGTAGGGAGCAGACAGAGACAGAGAGACAGAGAAGGGGAGGAGAGGAGCCTGGGGACAAGACACCAAAAGATAAAATTCCTTCAATTAGGTCCCACCTCCTATAGTTTCCACTACCTCTCCATAGTCCATTCTGCCGGGATGGATAATCCTTTGATGAGGTCAGTGTCCACAGGAGTCAGTCACCTCCTAAAAGCCCCAGCTCTGACCATTGCTGCATTGGGGCCTAAACCTTCAACATATGAGCCTTTGGGGACATTCCATATCCAAATCATAGCATGGTTTACAGGGTTTCCTTAAGTGAAAGTGATTGATAGATAAAATGACACTTAACAGGGTTTCCTTAAGTGAAAGTGATTGATAGATAAATTGACACTTAACTCAGTACCTAATGTATTTCAAGCCCTAAGTAGTGTTATCTTAAAGCTGCCAGCCAGTGTAACTCATAAAGCATGTGTCACACTGAATCATCATACGCAAATTAATGCCAGTGGCAATTTTCTTGTTATCAAATGGTTCCTTCAGGAAATAGTGTCCTTGTTATACTATGTTTCTTTTTTGTTGTTGTTATTTGTAAAAACATGTATTTTTGTATTTTATAGGACAGTTGAGAACACTCAAGCTGTAGACATAAACTTGAAATTAAATGGTAAAGGTTTTATTATGGGGACTTGGAGTTGAAGAGAAAGGTTGGCTAAGACACCATGTCTGGGTACACAATTTTATAGAAAGAGTTCAAGCAATTTTTGTGACCTGAAATGCCCTTCTCCATCACCC